GAGAGAAAGTGAGAAAGCTATAAGGTCTGGGACTTGAACCACACTCAGCTATGTGAGAGTCCAGTGTCCTTAAACACCATGCCACCTGCCAGCCCTGGAACATACCTGATCTTAATACACATTTTAGAAGATGTATTATTTTCTATAAAATATTCTGTAAGTTCTAGGAAGCAGGAATTTTTTTTTTTTTTCTTAAGAGAGTTTTTTCCTCCCAGGTTCTTGGGCATGTATTCACCAGTGTCTGCCCAGCATGAGTTTTAAGCCACCATGTCAGAAACTCACTTCTTGGCAATGTGGGAGTCCAGTGATGTGATTGCTATGCCATATGCTAGCACCTGTTTTTGTTTTTTTTTTTTTTTTTTTTGCACTAATATTTCTTTGATTAGAACAGTGGCTAACATAGTAGGTGTGCATTTATAATTATTGAGAGAATAAAATGTAATTTCTGTGTTTTAATTTAGATTTCTTAGGCAATTTATTTGACAATATTATTTCTAGTGATTATAAGATAGCTTTGGGGAATAAAAAAATTCTATACAGACTTTTAAAGTTCTTTAGTAATTTGAAGTTAAGTGGAAAGTTTTATTGAAGTCTATTAGCTATGTTATCAGATAAAACAGTCTAGAATTTCTTAATGCAGTTGAAAGTTAAGAAAAATAATTAATGTCTAATTATTTTGTAGCCATCGTTTGGTTATTTTATTAGATCACCTGAGAAGAGAGAACCTGTTGCCTTAATAAGGAAATCTGATGTGTCAAGAAGTAATTCAGAAAAAGAAATGGCTCATCTTAACCATGATCTGTTTTCAGGTAATGGATTAAATGAAGAGATTTTTTTTTTTTTTTTAGGAATCTTTAAAAAAAAGAATCCAAAGAAAATCCTGTAACTTAGTGATTGTGTAATTCTGTCCTTTAAGAGTGAAAATGTATATATATACACACATATATGTATATATATAGCTCCTCTCTAATCTGTGGATTTGCTTCCTGTGGTTTCATTTACCTGTGGTCAGCTGTAGTCTGAAAATATTAAATGGGAGAATCCAGAAACAAACAATTCCTAAGTTTTAAAATGTGTAAGATTTATCGTATGTTAAGTTTTATTGTGTGCCATTCTGAGTGGTGTGATGAAGTCTTGTGCCATCCCATTCTACCCCATGTAGGCATTAACCATCCCTTTGTTTACAGTATCTGCACTATATACGCTACCTACCCTTTAGTCACTTAGTCATGAGGTTGATTTTCATTGTATCGTAGTGCTTATGTTCAAGTAACCCATATTTTACTTAAGGACCTACTAATATAACTTTAATTTCAGTGTATTGTTATATTGGGTTTTTTCAATGATCAATTGTCATTAATCTCTGTCTGTCCCTAAATTCAACTTTCTCCTAGGTATGTATGTGCAGGAAAAGCATAGTGTTTAGAGCGTTCAGTGCTCTTCACAGTTTCAGGCAGCCGCTGGTAGTCTCGGAACTTACCCCTTGCTGATAAGGAAAGACTACTCTATCACTTTGTATTGGTTATAGGTTTTATTCATATATAACGCATATTTCCTTTTCAATATAAAGTAGAAACAGGGACTAGTGGAGGGCATAATGGTTATTTCACTGGACTCCCATGTAGTCAACCACAATTCAAGTCGCAGACCCAGAGACTTAAAACTCATGCTGGACATGTGTGTGTGTGACAAGATTCTGAGAGGAGAATGGAAGAGAAGGGATTACAGTGTGGCCACCTGGGTGGGGAGGATGATTTCTTGCTTTCTATTCTCTATCTCTGGTGAGCAACTGTGCCCTATAGCAAAAAATATCTCTAAAAAAGTAAATAAATAAATAAAATGGAAGCAAGTCAGGCTAAATCTACCTATGTCTTTTTGTAAAAACTGCAGCAAATTTTAAAGAATTATTTTATTTAACTTTATTTACTTATTTATTTATGTTATTTATTTTAATTTGACCAGGGAAGGACAGAGTGAGTGAGTGAGAGAGAGAGAGAGAGTGAGAGAGAAAGCAGGCAAGCTGCCAGGTCCAGGACTAGAAACGTGGTCGGCCATGTGGGAGTCCAGCTCCCTTAACCACCACACCACTTGCTGGCCCCATTACGTTTATTATTTAAGTTGACTCTTAAAGAGATGTTTTAAGATTTAGACTAATAGTCTAAATATGATAAATATCTGTGATATTTTAAATTTTTTTGGTCAGCTTATAATAATGAAGCAGTTAACTTTTCACTAGTGCTACATATCACATATAGTAGTGTAAGTTATGCTCCATTTTTTAAAGAGCCTGCCTTTTTTTTTTTTTTTCAGAGAGAGGTTTTCTCTATAATGTGCGTATGCTTGCCAGAGAGACAGACAGAAAGTGAGAAATCATCCCTTGGGGGAATGGCCATGCTTCAATCCCTTCTCCTCTCTCCTCTTGGGATCTTGGACACGCATGCACATGCACCTGGGGCATGAGTTTTAAGCTGCCAGGTTTGGAACTCGAACCGCAGTCAACTTCTTGGGAGTCCAGCAATGTAACCATTACATTATCTGCTGGTCCCAAAGAGCCTGCCCTTTTTTTTTTCTTTTTTTTTTTTTCTTATATAGAGATTTTTGTTATAGGGCTCGCATGCCTGCCAGAGAGACAGAAAGCGAGGATATGGCCATGCTGCAGTCCCTTTTCTTCTATTCTCCTCTAGGGATTTTGGGCACACATATATACACATATACCTGGTATGAGGTTTAAGCCTTTGGGTCTGGGACTCAAACCGTGGTCTACTATTTGGGAGTCCTGTGATGTAACCATTATGCCATTTGCTGGTCTCAGAGACTGCATTTTCATAGAGGAATTGGAATAAAGTGTTAGTGTGTATGTGGTTAGTTCATTGTCTATTACTGAAGTTCTCACTTTTGAATTCAACTTATTGTGTATTTGTGAAATGTTTAAAGCTGAAAAATATGGGTTTATGTGAGTATTTGCAAGGGAGAGATTAAAATATGTAGTCTTCCTTCAAAATTTGGACTTTGCAGAATTGAGCCAAATTAACAGTGCAGTTGTCCTTTTGTCTGTGTGCTTTACATTCAGACAGTGTTCATGAGGATGACTGATACCTGAGGTATGATACCTTCTCCCTTGACATTTAATCATTCTGACTTGTTCTTATCCTGCAGATTGTTTCTGTGAAATAATGTGTACTTAAATGTTGAATATTGTTTATTTTCTGCAGGAGACTTAAATGAACAATCCCAGACACAACTAAGTGAAGGATCAGTTACACTTCAGGTTGAAGCCTTGGAGAGCACTTCACAAGTGGATGAAAGTGAAGTGACATTAACTGCCAATAAAAGCAAAACTGAGGTAGCTCAGGCTTTTCATGAAGGAAATGTAAGTTTACTTTGTTATAATTTTTATATAAGATCAAGAGAGCATCACCTGTGGAAAACATATGGAGTCTAACTTTTTTTCTGGCTCCAGTTTTTTTTATAAGTGTCCTTTAAATTTAAAACATTTCCATTGGGGCGAGGAGGTGGCATGGTGGGTTAAGGCACTTGTTCAAGTCCTGGACCTGGCGGCTTGCTTTCTCATTTTCTCTCTGTCTGTCTGTCTGTTTCTGGTGAGCTCAGGTGCCCTATAGCAAATTAAAAATAAATAAATCAGTTAAATTAAGTAAATATTTAAAAAAACCAACATTTTCATCAATGTCTGATTTACATATAAGAGTTTATAAAACAGGGACGAACAGATGGCATAATGGTTACATTGCTGGACTCCCACATAGTTGACTCCAGTTTGAGTCCTGAACCTGGAGGCTTAAAGCTCGTGTGCGTGAATGCCCAAAATCCTGAGAGAAGAATGGAGGAGAAGGGATTGCAGCATCACTATCCCCCTGGGCAATGATTTCTTGCTTTTTCTCTGTCTCTCTCCCAGCGAACACATGTGCCCTATAGCAAAAATCTCTCTCTTTAAAAAAAAAAAAAAGTTTATTAAACTTATAGTTAATGACTGAATTATTATTTTAATATACCAGATGGTGTGTATGTTTTCCAGAGAGAGACATAAAGGAAAAAGGGATAAGGAGAAAGCATTCCCCATGTGGGATGGTCGTCCTGCGATCCATTCTCCATTTTTCCCTCCCTTTGGGATATTGGTCATGCACACTTGTGCACCTTGCATGTTTCTCAAGCCACCAGGTCCAGGCCTCAAACTGTGCATGTGGGATCTAGCTACCTTAACTGCTATACTATGGGCTGACCCTCGCCTGTCATGTTTCTCAAGTTGCTGGATCTGGGATTCAAACCATGTGGTCAGTCATGTGGCATCTGGCTTCCTTACTCACTAGGTCATGGGGCTGGCTCAATGAATGAATTATTACAACTTGTACACCTGTATATACCCCAGACCAAGAGAGAAAACATTACCTGTTTCCTGGAAGCTGCTATTTCCTTTATTAGTTCTCTGACCTCTCACTGTATTAAGTTCACCAGGTTTTTAATTCGTCTAAAAGAAACCATGTAGCATGCGTTCCTGTTTCTTGACTTTTTTCTTTTCGCTTTATCTTATGTTTATAAGATGACTATAATACTATAGAAACATATTTCATTACTCGTAGCATTCTGTTATATGACTATTCTGCAGGTTATGTAGCTTTCCTACTGTTAATGGACTTTGGTACATTCATAGTGTTGGACAGTTATAAAATAATGCTCTGTGACTGGCCTGTGCTTGTCTTGGCATTGTACGTATTCATGTGAGATATGTACTCCAAAAGTGGAATTGCTGGGTCATAGGGCTTTCATACTAGCTTAGTTTTTGCGTAGTTTTCCAGAGTGGTTGTCCAATGTGGATTTCTCCCAGTAGCATGTGATAATTTCTGTTGACTGCACATCCTCGTCAGCACTTGATATTATTAATCACTCTGGTAGATGTGGAATGGTACCTCCTTGTTTCCATTTCCATTTCTTGATTAGGGAAGCTGAGAGGTTTTTTGTTTGTTTGTTTTGTTTTGTTTTGTTTTACCTTTTTAAAAATGTTTACTTTTTAATTTATATTCAATTTATTTTAGAGTCATTTAGTTTCCAACTGGGGTACATGGTTATTTGGATAGCTAGTATCCTGGACGTTTGAAATGATACCTTGGAAAACAAATAAACATTTACTGTTGATTTCTCTTTTCCTTTGTCTAGCAGTTCTGTTATGAACTGGGCATGAACCTTCAGTGTCTTTCTGATGTCTTAACATGCTTCCACTCCTGGTAAAATTAGCTGGGATGTTTATTTTTTCTGTCTAGCTTTCTCGAGAACTACAGTTGGATTCCTTCACACTTAAGAAAGTTTGCCTTCCTTTTTAACACTGAAAAATATCATGCTATATTCTTGTCATTTAGAAGTGGATGATTCATAGGACTAACTCCTTTTTAAATTCCAGTTGGTTTTTTAGCTGCAAGACTAGTGATAACTCCATCATGGATATCTCTTTCCAGGCATTACTGTCCCTTTGAGGCTCAGATTAGTCTTACCAAACCTGAATTCTGTTGGATTCCCCACCTTACTCTTACTCTGAATTGCCAGCCACCATTTTGCTGGAATCTTCTATGTAGTCTTGAAAATTTTCTGCTTCTTTCTTTCCTTTCTATTCATTTTGATGGTATCATCCCAAACCATATCAATCTTGTTGCGGTTTTCATCGTTGTAAGCTTGTAATGTTGGTGATGGGGTCACCGTGACTTCCACCAACTGGTATCAAATGGCTCCTGGCTGGAGACATTGTGCTGGAACAGTCAGGAAGGCCAGAGTTGGAGGCCTACCACCTCCCACTCTCACACGAAGACTGCTTTTTCACATTTACTGGTCAGTTGGGTAGCTACATTTGTGAAGTACTTGTTCAGATCTCTTGTTCATTTTTCTAATACAATGTTTATACTGTTTTGTAGGAGCTCTTTATATATTCTGATAGGAATCTTTTGTTACTTATGAGTGTTTCACATGTCTTCTTCCCATGTATGGCTTGCCTTTTTATTTTTTTAATGTGTTTAGTTATTGTGTAGGCTGTTTACTTCATTTCTCTAATGTGCCAACTTTGTCATAAATATCCAAGATGTTGTGGGTCTATTTCTAGACTGTTGTGTTTCTTTGGTCTGTTCATCTATGTCATGTCAATTTGACACTGTTAAATGTTGTAGCATTATAATCAGTATTGATATCTAGTAGAATAACCTCCCCACCCTGGCATGTTTGTTTTTAAATAAATAAATCCCAGGCTTCTTTATTTAAGAACAAAGTGAGGAGCATTGTGGGGATAAAAATGAAGAACGTCATTTAACTTCAATTTCTCTTCAACCAGTTTCCCCAGAATGCCCTACCACCACCCTTTGTGTCCCCCGTATCTTCCTTAGTGAATGAAGAACTTAATCCTCAAAGCCCTGTTACATACACTCCAGGTTCTCTTT